GATACATTAATATGCAGCTCAAATACATTAATAAAATAAATTTTTTTAATTTTTTTAAAAAAATAATAGGGAATAATAAAAATAAGTGAAACAAAAAATATGTTTTTATATTTTGTCCAAAAAAATAGATTCAGCCCAACAGAAGCCCAATCAAAAGAAAATAAAGCAAAGACAATAAACTAAGATAGAGCATATTGAAATTATTTTTAGAGTAATTTTAAAGTTGTCCACAAACTTTGTTCTTGGTATACGGATAACAATCTTGTAATAAAAATTAAAAATTAAAAATTAAATTTATTTCATATTTAATTTGAAATATGAATTAATTTTAAAATTATTTTTTCATATTTTTATATCATACTAGTTTCTGATAACGTGCGTTACACGTTTGTCTCTTACTATTATTACAATCTTTCTGTCTATTTAAAAGTGAGTTATAAAATATAAAATATTGAAATTAACAATATTAATTTTACTATTTATTTTTTATTCATTAAAATAACTCATAAAATAGAATAGTGCATTTGCTATCAAATCAGAAATATGTGAAATCTAACTGTAAAATATGTCTATGAATTGCTTTTCAAAAAAAATGTCTATGTATTCTTGATTGAAAAGTAATAATAAATGTATCTAATGTCTTTAATGAAATAACAAAAGCGTGAGATAACTTTATCAGAAATATAAATTTCAATTACATATTCCACATACTACAACAAAAAGATCCTAAAATATGTACCAAACAAATGACTTATTTTTCTATAAAGTACCTAAACATCGAAGTTTAAGGATAATACAATAAGATTATTTTGAGAATGCAATTACTTGTGATAAGTCCACGGGTCTATATATTAGTATATTTTATTGTGTTTATATAAAATATAACACTATTTGTGCTAATTTTTGATGATATGATATTTCATATTCATGAAAAATTCAACACTCTATTCAAATAGTAAAAAATAATTAATATGTTTTAGTTTTCAATTTTAAATTTTTAATAAACAGAAAATAAATTAACAAAGTAAGAAAATCAGACGATTCAATAACAATATTATAAACATGTTTGTGATGATCTATGTATAATTTGAAGGAAAAAATATTTCAAATTCAAATTAAAGAGAACTCTCTAACTAAAATCTTAATCTTCTATCACTCAAAAATTAAATAGAAAATGAAAGACTCATATAAGAGAAATGATGATTTATACAATTTAAAAGTCTATATGTGAAAATAAGAGAATAAATATATTGCATAAAAAAAATTATAGCTGCAAAAAATACCATGTGTGATTCTCAAAGGTAAAATTATTTTACTATTACTTGTAAATTATATACTTTCATCGTATTTTTTTTTTTGAAATTTCACCTTTTCAAAAATGAAAAAACAAGCTAAGAAAAAAAATAAAAAGGGGGAAAAGGAACAAATAAAGATTAATAAAATAGAGGAAAAAAAACCTAGTGAATATCTTAACTGAAACTACGTTATAAAAACACTCAGATAAATCATTATATCTTGAATTCCAAGAACACTTTAAGTTGCATCACAAAATAATCTAAAAAGAGACATATTCTACAATAAGAGAGAGGGGGACAACAAAGAAATAGTGTTAAAAATTTGAAATCTTCCAGTTTCGGAAAAAGAAAATTGATGAAGGCCAGGGGATGCATGAGGAATCGCCGTTGTCACTGTCGAGAAATCGCTGCAGGCACCACACTTCATATGATTGTCTTAAAGTCTTTTATTTCTTAACTAAAATGGTATTCATATATATTACATGCCTTTTGAAATGTATAAAGATGAAATGACTTGGACAAATATTTATTATTTTCAATTGCATTTTCGCTTATCCTATTCATGGTTATTTAAATGTAAGTTTCAGACCGTTGTCTTTTCAATTATCCTAATTATTATAATTGAAATGTCAATTTATTTTTCAGGTAATTAAAAATTAAAATATTATGTTTTTATTTTTATATAATATTATATATATTCAAAATAATGTTTAAACGAAGGACAAATTCTTAATTCAACTTTGAGCTAAGGGGTTTCCCACTTTTATATATATATATATATATATATATATATATATATATATATATATATATATATATATAAAATTGGTATAATATGAGATATACTTCTAGAAGACTAAATTATGCACTTAATTTGATGCTTAGTTATCTATTATCTATTAAAGATTAAGAATCAATTCTTGCTTCACACATCTTTTTCTTTTTTTAGTGACAAAATACTCGTGTTCTAAAAATTCTAGAATCGTCTCACCATGATAGGGTGGGTGTACGTTGCATATTTTCCACCACTCACTATTAATTAACTTTGACAAATTCCTTCTGCTGGTCACCTATATGCATCAAACATGTGTTTTTCATGTTATTGCTGCATTGAAATTGGCTATACTTTAAACGTCGATAGAGTCAGAATTTTTATCAGTTAATTTAAAAATACAACGTAAACATAATCAAGCTAAGGAGTTCAATATTTGTATGTATAGTACATATATAGTATTCTTGAAAACTAGCACTTTTGCAAATAAAGCTAAGAATTAATCTCTTTAGTGATAAGCAAGCAAACAAAACTTGTTCAGCTAAATAACTTGATGGGACCTGTAAATTAATTAACTACATTGGTCTACAATTCTCAACCACCTCAAAATTGGAATATGCTTTTTTTTTGGGGGGGTCATATATTTACTTTGTTGCAGGATATGTTTCTAATCTATCCTAAGTTGCAATTCACCAAAAAAAAAAAAAAGAATCTCATGGGAAATTGCATTCCTTTTCTAAACAAAGAAACCAAATCTTTGCCCATTGATACAATTTTCAAGCTTCCATCACCATTGCCCAATTGGCCATCAGGTTTGAAACTTCACTCTCTTAATTATCGCTAAATTGCTAGTACCTAACGATTTTTAAAAATAATTTGTAGCAAATTTGTTGCTAGTTATATGAACAACGTCAAATTTTACTGTTTAGCTATAAAAATTTGTTGCTAGTTATATGAACAACGTCAAATTTTACTGTTTAGCTATAAAATCAGTCTGTCGCTATAAGTTTATTGATGTTTAAGGTCTAATGACAGGAACAGGAGAGTTTGGAAGTGGATATATTGATTTAGGAGGGCTAAAAGTTTACCAAATTGTGACATTTAACAAAGTTTGGGCTATTGATAAAGGAGGACCAGAGAATCTTGGAGCAACATTTTATGAGCCTTCACCAATTCCAGATGGATTTTCTATGTTTGGATGTTATTGTCAACCAAACAATAAACCCCTTTTTGGTTGGGTACTTGCAGGGAAAGACAATGTTGGTGAAATCCTAAAGAATCCAATTGATTACACACTTGTTTGGAGTAGTGAATCCTCAAAGTTCAAGAACAAAAATATCAATGATCATGGCTATATTTGGCTACCAATTCCACCTGAGGGTTACAAGGCTTTAGGCCATGTTGTCACTACCTCACCTGAAAAACCTGCCTTAGACAAAATTCAATGTGTTCGATCCGATCTAACGGATGAATTAGAGGTTGAGAGTTGGGTATGGGGTCAAGGTACAACAAGTAAGGTGAATGGTATCAATGTTCATAGCGTAAGACCTCGAGAAAGAGGCGTAAAAGCACAAGGGGTTAGTGTAGGCACATTCTTAGCTAGGATTACAAGTGATAAAGATGATGAGTCTAACAAAACCTTATCCCTTGCTTGTTTAAAGAATACTAAGTTTAGTACCTTTTCTTCTATGCCTAACCTTAGCCAAATTCAAGCATTATTTGATCAATACTCTCCAATTATACACTTTCACCCTAAAGAAAAGTACCTTCCTTCCTCTGTCAATTGGTATTTTGCTAATGGTGCTTTGCTATATCAGAAAGGTCAAGAATCAAATCCTAGTACCATTGAACCAAATGGCTCAAATCTTCCACAAGATGGTCCAAATGATGGTGCTTATTGGCTAGACTTGCCAATTGATGAGAAGGGCAGAGAAAAAGCCATTAAAGGAGATTTACTAAACTCTGAGGTTTATCTCCACATTAAGCCAATGTTAGGAGCAACTTTCACTGACATAGCTGTGTGGATTTTCTATCCATTCAATGGACCTGGCACAGCTAAACTTGGCCTAGTTGATGTACCCTTTGGTAAAATAGGTGAACACGTAGGTGATTGGGAGCATGTAACACTTAGGATCAGCAATTTCAATGGGGTGTTGTACAAAGTTTACGTCTCGCAACATAGTGGAGGGACATGGCTTGATGCACCACAAGTTGAATTTCAGAATGGTAGTAACAAAGTTGTGGTCTATTCTTCACTAAATGGACATGCCATTTACCATAAACCGGGTTTAGTTTTACAAGGGGGTGGAGATATTGGGATAAGAAATGATACAGCTAAGAGTAACTTAGTTTTGGACTGTCGGAAGAACTATTCAATAGTTGCTGCTGAAAATCTTGAAATAATCGCGCCAGCATGGCTAAATTATACAAGACAATGGGGACCAAAGTTAAGTTATAGACTTGGGGATGAGGTTAAAAAAATTGAGAGCTCATCGAAAGGGAACTCGAAAGGTGCATTCGAGAAATTGGTGAAAGTACTGCCAAATGAAGTTTATGGAGAAGAAGGGCCTACTGGTCCCAAGTTGAAAGGTAATTGGAATGGGGATGAAGTGTGACTTGTAAAAAAGAAATAGAATTGAGGCCTTTATGCAAGTCTGTTTTGTATTTCTAAAATCTCCATGAGTAATTGATCTCTCCTTTTTATTTGAACTCATTCGTAATCTAATTTTTGTTTACCTACTTCCAAAACAAGGTGTATACAAGTATCTTAACATAAAATCTAATCACCAGCATATAGCTTAGTTGTTCACCAAACGTTAAGATACCAAATGACAAAAGAAGATGAAAAGGATTACAAACATGCATTAGAAAGTACACAGAAACTGAACCAATTCATTTAGCCAAAAGAAAATTGCAGAAACAGGGAAAGGAAGGCTAGATAAAAGCAGTCGCAGAACCATTTTATTTGAATCTGATATTCAAACTGTACTTAAATTACAACATTAAAAGATGGGACATCTAAACATAATGTGCTACTCATTTGGGAAAGGATATTTCCCTAAGACCTAGGTAGATGAAATATAGAGCTAAACATTCAGAATGAGATCCATGAAGCACCAACCCTATCCCGAGGAATTAGGCGTAGTTCAGACCCATGTTTAAGAAAGACGTTACCTGAAATAACATTCAAGTTGAAACAAGTTCAAAACCGGATAATCTAAGTTGAAAAAATACAGAACTCAATGATAAAATATATAATCACATCAGTGTAAACGAAAAAAATATCGCAGCCAACTATGGCTGAAGAGAGACAGATAAATCCACAATGAAAAGACACCAACAATTTCTCCTCGTATTCTTAAAATGCTCCAAACCAAAAGAAAAGATAGAGAGAGACGCGCAACAATTTTACTCTTCCACTAACTAATGAAGTTCCCTTTATAGCATTTCTAGACAAAAATTATCACAGTTCCTTGAGCTCCATGCAACTACTCGTTCTCCAGTAATAGGCAGTACAATTAACAAAGACAGAAGAAAGAATAAAAAGAAAAAGCATGTACATAAATTTGCATGCTTTCTTATTTCATCCATAAACTAATAAGGTAAGCTTAAAGATAGACCCAATCTTCGTAAAACAAGAAACTAATCCTTGAATATTCCTTGGATCTTAATGCAATAAAGTTTTATCAGAAATGAGAAATATATATTTAAAACTTCCATTCCAGATATTATTATCATTCACAACAAAAAACCATTATTTAGCAGGGGAAAAAAGATATGGAAGATAACTACAAAATATTCATGCGAAGTGTAACATTACCTGCACTTTGTTGAGGATTAATTCCGACACCATCTGTAACAAGACAAAAGAACAAAAATATTATAATAAAAAAAAAGGAAACGTGCAATAATAAGAAGTTTATTGTTTTTACTCCTTTTTTCATTGAAATTGAAGACCGAAGAATATCATAGCATTGAAAGGACTCGAAGATACTACTTTTTTAGTACCAAACAGGAACCCCACATTTACATTGCCAGTCCCATACATCACTTTTCTTAACAGGAAATATTTCAATAATGTCCTTTCTGATTTTTAATCTAAAAAATTATTTGAGAATTTAAGATTCACCAGAACCAACTTTGACCTATGAGGAACTGATGACGACTACATGCCATTTTTATTCATAGGTACGAAAAAGGGTTTGATAAGAAGGATTACACCACATCAACTTAATTCAGAGTTCTCTTGAGTGTCGCGTTCCTTGACTAATTTGTTAGTCTAATTGCATAATCCGTGGGAAAAAAAGAACTTCCTGTAGTTAAATAACTATAACCAAGACAAAGAGAGCACCTAGAAGTATGCAAAATTTACCAAAAATATCTGCCCACTGGACACAAAAACACCATTCATGACTCGTGAGACAAAATAACAGATCCAAGACCACCTAAAATCCCAATACCCCAAACCCAAATTGAGAAATTGAAGGCTACTAATGCTATAAACCATCATTTGGTCTAGTTGATAGCTTTTTTCACAAGTATTCTATAGTCTTCATAATTGTGTTGTTTTTCGTTAGAATTTCTCGTACTGGGTGAAGGAATCGGCTATTGTCTCCTTATAGGACCTTAGATCAATATGAGCTGACTTTTGAGATTGAATTAGACTCCATTTCCATTTCTTTTACAACCATACCAGTGCCAGATCCATCTCTATTCTTAGTTAACTTAGTTGTAGGACTTTGAACCCCATATTATATGTCCAGGCTCCAAATTTACAGCCCTGAACATATAGAAGAGTGTTGGTTATAAAACCTTCTATTTTATAAGTCAAAATGTTTTGATAATATACACCAAGTCAGTCTCCATTAGGCCTCTGACAATCCTCACCTCATCAGCTAGTTTATGCCATAATTTTAGGCCCCATTTGCATTTTCTTAAACTTGCTCGTCTCCTCATTCTTACTATTAAGTCTAATTTCATCCTGTACTTATATTATTATTGAAGTTCCACATTTATCCTAAATGAAATCAAAAGTTCATAATTTCACTTGATTATTTAATCAACTCTGCCTCAATCCCAATTTGGATCAACAGATACAGAATTTATTGTCTTTTCGGGAACAAACTCTGGGTTTTTCATGTAAAATCTCACGTATCCTAATCGAGCTAATCTAAAACTAATAAAAATAATAAAATCCATAACTGAACAAATGAAGGAAAATGATACCATTAGTTATGATGGCGCTTGTTTGAGGAGGGACTTTGAATTCCTCAGCCGCAAATTTGAGAACAGCGGTGAACGGAGCTGCCTCCGGAACGCTAAAACTGATCGAACAATAAATTCGGAATTCAATTCTAAGTAAAAACACAATCAAGTATCAATTTTACGGAAAAAAAAATAAACAGAGGAATACTTACACTTTAAATGGCAATTTGGGATCGGAAGTTAGAGTGACTTTGAACGACACTTTTCCGCTGCCACCAGCACCACCGCCACTCGCCATTATTCCTCTTGTTTCCGATACTGCAACGGGAATTTTTCTGTGTTTTGAAGAAGCACAAAAATCACGTTTGATTTTGCTCTTAATTTCAGTTTTGGGCCTTTTCTGGCCCGAATTACAAGATGTGCTGTATTAGCCAATCAGAAGTGACCACGTAAGCATACGTGTGCATGATTACATTCCATATACTCATTTATACTTTTAATCGTATACCAATCAGCCATTATGGTTAATGGGTGCTCACAAAATCACTATCATATTTTCAATATTTTTTTATATGCGCGTATAAATTTTTCATTAATGGGTGTACGAACATTTTATATTATATTGGATTTGTATTTGTGATAGTGTACAAATATTTTACATTATATTGGATTCGTATTTGTCTATCACGTATTTTATTTTTTTATTTTTATTATTTAAATTATAAATATATGATATTATATAATGACAATGAACAATATACAATATATACAATCATTATATTCATTAAAATAATACAGTACGATATTAAGGTGACAAAATCAGGTTAATTCATCCAATCTGCAGTTAAGCTTGAGTTGGTTAAAATCTGCAGTTAATTAGATATGTCCTATATAGCCATAATAAGAATATTTCTTAAATTAGGTATTAAAATAATTTAAAAGAACAAATAACAAAATTAAAATTTAGTAAAAATTGAGTCTTGACGTATTATTTAATTCATTTTGATTCAATTTGAAGTGGATCGAATCTTGATCCAATTATTATTTTAGTTCATTATAATTCGCCTAAGTTTAATTCAACTCAACTCAATATCACTCTACATGATATAATATAATATCAAACCCTGTTTCCTAAATATGAATACAATATTTTGATTTTGTAAGTTTTTTAAATATACATTTTTGTTATAATTAACAAATCTATTAATTGATGAGTTTGCCAAAAAAAAAAAAAAAGTTTAATTTGAATTAGTTACTAAAAGAAAACAAAAATGAAAATGCCCACGGGAGTCCGCCAGTGCTGAGCTGACTTACTGAACCTGAGTGGAAAAGACTGACGGCAAAATCCCTGAAAAATATCTTCAATTGAACCAAAACATTTAATATTCCGATCACCGGATGACATCTCCGGCTGCCGGAACCCTTCTTGATTTCCCAATCTAACCGTAAATCACCCACCTACTAGTTTTTCTCTACTGCAATTCTGCAAAACTTTCAGCTTCCATGGATTTGGTGGAAAATCCGGAGGAGGTAGAAGAGAAGAGAAAGGAGATTAGTGGGTCAGCTCGGTTGCGCAGAGTATTGGGGATTCTTGTCTTTTTCTGTGCCTTCTTTACAATATCATTTTCAGTGCTTTATTTAGCTGTTTTTCTTGGGAACCTGTCGATTTCCAGTCCAATATCTCTTCCGTCTCAATGCAAAATTGTCTCTAGCAGTAAGTTGATTCATTTACTTGATGAATTTGCTGGTGGGTTTTGTTTTTGGAGTGTTGATAACTTTTTCTTTGCTGAATTTTGTTGGTGGGTTTTTGCTTTTTGGAATCTTGGTGGTTGCTCAGAAATGGAGGGTAGTTTGATCAGAATTAGAATCTCCTATTTGTCAGTAACCCTTGTTGTGTTTTTAGTATCATGTATGGCTCAAAAGTTTTGATTTTGAATTTGATTGGTGCTGGTTGGATTTTGGTTATGCTTGGTTGCTTTGAAATTGAGGATCCCTGAAAGACTTGAACATAATTTGGAGTTCAAATGGTGGAGAAGACCTTCATTCTGGCATTACCATCCTGTGGTTCAGAACTTTGCACTCAGTCGCATTAGTGGATTTTGCTTTCTTTTGGTTTCCAGGAATTTTTGTTGAGAAGATTGATCAAAATTATAGGCAGGATGAAAGACTTCCACAGGATATTCATTTGATCTAGAGATAGCATATGATAGTGTCATAAAGTCATTTAGTGAATAGTAGAGAAGATATAGATTCGTATGAGATGTAAATGTGCAATAAAAGATATGTACAAAGGAGAGTTGCCAGTGTAAAAACAGTGGGAGGAGATACGGAAGAATTTCTTAACTGAAATAATGTTGTCATAATTGATGAAATTTTCTATGAAATCAACTAGAATCTCAATCTGTAAAAGTAGCATATTCATTCGACGTAATTTGGTTGAAACTTTGGAGCAAAGTTCGTAGGAAAATTTGTTTAGAGCAGGAAATATTTACTGATATAGTCTTCTCGTCTTAGGTTGCTATTGCAACTTTCTGTGTCAGATTTGCTAGTAAATTACACTGCCTTTTTATGGTTTCCGAATAAGTGTAAGTTTGATATCATGATTGCAAATTGATCATGAGTTCAAGAGGGAAAGCTTTTTGATACAAGTCACTTCATGTATCTTAGTCCAAAATTGACTCACTGGTTGGAGTGTTGTTTATTTTATAGCTTTCCCAGTGGTGGAGGTGATGTAATATGTATAACGCGGTGTCAAGCCACTTTGTGAAGTGGCTGCCAAGGGTGTCGTTGCATATTGCGGCCGCTCTTTTGCTTTTTAGCAAAAGAAAAACATGTCATTTATTATATCTATAAGGATATCCTATGGATCAGCATGTTCAGTATTGGTCATTACTCATTAGCTTCAACTTAAGTTAATGCAAAAAGAGTTTAAGTTTTGTGTAGTGACGATGTAAAAATTATTTACACAATCATGACATTAATAAGGTAATTACGGAAAATCTGAAGTAAACAATAATTGGTAACTTGATAAAATTAATAGTAACCTGTCATAGTAGGTTAAACTACATTTATGGTATTAAGAATCTTAACACTAGTGCCTATAACTTATAATCCATTGAAGAATAATGAAACTTGCTTCAAATACAGTCAGACAAGTTGCTTGCAAAGGTCATCCCTACTTTTGACACATGTATATCCATATATAATAAACATAACAGATAGATACTATACATGTCCGATGGAGGGCTAGACGCACGCATAATCACATCTATGTAGGGAGTATGTCCCTTCTTATTTTGTCTAAAGTACCAAATTACCCCTTATTACATGTTGCAGCTGCAGTAGCCGAGAAGCTTTTCGAAGTTTTTCCATGTAGGAGATGAATTCCCTCCTAGTCTAACAACTTACTTAGACATAATTGCCTAATTTGATTAAACAATCTTATTAGCAATAATAGACTAATGCATCCCCTCTTCTTTTTTTTCTTTTTTCCTTTTTTGATGTATACATCTTGAAACTAATTTTTTGTAAAATAGTTACAGCCCTGTTACCAGGAGCAATGACAAAATGGCATATCCTTGTTGACACATAGTACAGATTGGTTTAAATCTCAGTTCGTTATTGGTTTAAGTTTCAATCTAAAGCAATTATTTTATCTTCTTCACAGGTGTGGATCTAAGGTCATCTAAAGTCTGTGAACTGGGCTTGTTGAATTATAAGGCAAAGCATGTTCTATACCCTTCTGAAAGGAAAAAGTTTCGATGTCATTACGATTACTATTGGGCTTCTGTATTTAAGGTGACTACCGCTATTTATTGTTCATTTAGATGTTGTTTTCCATTTATAGTTCTTTTGGTGCACATGTTGATAAGTTGATTGTATCAAATCATCCATTGATGCGGTTGAAGTTCTTGAAAAGGAACATTGTATACTAGTTGTGTATGAGTTCTGTCTCCAGGATGAATATATAATAAAGTTCTTACTTGTCAATAAAAAATAAATTTCTTATACAATTGACCTGAAATTATAGTTTTAGTTCCATCTTTTGTCAGAGATTCAATTTCACAAGGATTTTGCTAGCGAATGATTTTGTAAGTCATGCATGTTGTATGCTGGAAAACTAGTTCAATTGGAGATTGATTATTACCCCTTAATGATACGGGAGGTAATAATTATGTACAAAGAACAGAGCTTCTTGGTATCAGAGGAGACAAAAGTTTATTTAAGCACTCTGGTATATATCTATTTCTTTTGGCTTGGAAAGATATTAGTAATTTAAACTTTCACTTTTCCCATAAGACGACATTTTTCATTGAATGTATTAAATAATACATGGCTCTGTAACTTCTAGTTTTTAGCAGAATTGGATTGTGTATTTTGTCACTTGTAATATTCTAATTTTTTCCTTCGGAATGGCTCAGTTGGTTTGGAGGGTGGTCATCCACACGGATGACCCAGGATCGATCCCCCCACAATGCCCATCGAGCCATAGGGCTTGCCTTGTGTGGTTTACATCCCTTGTATGGTCTGCAGATTATTACAAGTGGGGGTGGGTTTATGCAGTGAGCACACCACAGAGTACTCACCCGAAGGGCAGAGGTTGTTGCGCTGCGGGTTATATTGGGGTTCCAAAAATATTCTAAATTTCACCTACTGTACCCATTTTTACACCTTCTTTATATACGTTGTGATATTAATCAATTTGGATGACAATTATTCCTATGCCTTTTGGATCTTCCCTTCTCCGTGTTATCCTCTCTCTTCCTTTGGCGTTCCATCAGCCAGCAGGAGTCGATGCATTTGAAGCTAAAAATTACTTAACAATAAGGAGGTGGAACGTTTCAGCTTGGTTCTATCCATGGATCACTTGGTTCTGACCTTTATATGTATTCCTTCCTTGGGTGGAGGCATTTGTTACAAAGTATTTCTAATACATTCTTACATGTTTAGTTTGGAGCATGAATCGAATATGGGTTACTTCTAAATGTTGCTGCATTTTGTTATTTTTTATTTATTTCATTTTTGTGGATCATTTTGGTATTTATTGTCTTCTTTTTTGGGGTGGGATTGGCAGCGGTGGCGGTGGCAAAGAGATATTGATTGTTTACAAAAACACTCAATTGCTTGCTTATGCATTTCTCAAGAACAAAATATATCCTTACATGTTTATCACGGAGAATGAGTTATCCGAAAAGAGAATGCATATCCTGGAGATTGTATCGAATAAGAAATACTTTTGAGAGTTGTTGCATCTTCTTATTTTTTTCCTTTTCTTGACTATTTTTTTTGTTGTTTTAGTTTTGGGTTTCCTTTCTCTTTTTTTTTTTTTGATACGGAGATGGATACTTTCTTACTGATTGTGCAGAATCACTCAATTGCTTGCTTGCTTATGCATTTTGAATAACA